CAAATATTGCATTAGGCAAATCTGTTGCACAAGACCTCTTTGAAGTGTTAAAGAGCAAGGATGTCCGGTTGAGGGCTAAGGTCCGGCTGATTCAAGCCATGGTATTTTCAGTAGCCTCATATGCAAAGATGAGGCTTTCTACTCCCGTAAAGATTTACACCCTCGGAAACCCTGTACAGGGTCGCTATGAGTCGGAACCGACTTGACAGCACTTAACAACAACAACAACAACAACAACAACAACAACATATGCATGTGAAAGTTGGACAACGAACAAGGCAGACTGTAGAAGAATTGATGCATTTGAGTCATGAGGTTGGTAAAGAATACTGAAAGTAACATGGACTGCTAGAAAAACAAGCAAATCTGTGTTGGAAGTAGTACAACCAGAATGCTCTTTGGAAGCCAGGATGGCGAGACTTCGTCTCTCATCCTTCAGACATATTTTCTGGAGGGACTAGTCCCTGGAGAAGGACATCATGTTTGGTAAAGTGGAGGGCTTGGTAAAGTGGAAGACCAGCAAAAAAGGGAAAGAATCCCAACAAGATGGATTGCTACAGTGGCAGCAGCAAGGGGCTCAAGCTTAATAATGATTGTGTGGATGGTGCAGGACCAGGCAATATTTTATTCTGTTGTATTTTGTTGTTGTTGTTAAGTACTGTGGAGTCAGTTCTGACTCATAGTGACCCTGCACAGGGTTTCCGAGGGTATAAATCTTTATGGGAGTAGAAAGCCTCATCTTTTCTCCCGCAGAATGGCTGGTAGTTTCGAACTGCGACCTTGAGGTTAGCAGCCCGATTCATAACCACTATGCTACCAGAGCTCCTTTCTGTTGTATTTAAGAGTGCTTTAAGTCAGAACCAACTCGACAGCCACAAACAACAGCAACAACTGGAAGTTCTCCTTCCTTTTCTATCCCCTCCCATACTCTTAGATTTCTGGTGATACAAAATGTAACCAGAGTTGTTATTGTTAAGTGTGGTCAAGTAGGTTACAACTCATAGTGACCCTGTAAAATTTCCGAGGAGTGGTGAGCTTGAACCGGTGACCTTGTGGTTCAAACTGACTCTGCAGTCCAGTGCATTAACCCATGGGGCCACACCAGGACTCCAAACTGGAGTACTAGCCTATATTTTTTCTCAACAAAATAAGATTTCAAAGGGTTTTTACTAACAGGGAAGATGAAGGGAAACTCATGTTTATTTAATGTATATGCTTTGCCAGAGACTACACTAAGGTTTAATTACACTATTTATCACATCAAATGCAAATGTACCAATACCAAAACAAAACAAAACCCAACTACAACAATGCCAAAATAGTGTTGATCGTACATTTGAGTAAATAGGGGCTCAGGTAAATGAACAAGATATTAGGCGATAGAAAAGAAATCAATTGCTATCCAGTCAATTCTGATTCCTGGTGATTTCATGCGTTTCAGAACTGACCATAGAGTTTTCAATGACTGTGTCCTTTCAGAAGTAGCATGCCACGCCTTTCTTCTGAGGTACCTGCAACCTTCTGGTTATCAGACAAGTTTTCAACTTTGTGTCTCCTAAGGACTCCTTCATAGATAATAGAGCTGAGATAAGGACTTGTAAATGACTGAAACTATTACTTCTATTAATACCTGGTGACGAAGTATTTAGTTTCAAAGTTTGCAATTTCAACAACACATGGTAGGTAAGAACCCTAATCCATAACATTCCCTTCTGAGGTAGTGTCTGAACAATTTTTTAGGCCCCGGCAATCTATGAGCTTTGGTGTGAATGGGCCCCCTTTAAGTTGAGAGTATGTTGGTTCCAAATTTCTGCATACACTTAAGGAGCTCTGGTAGCGTAGTGGTTACGAATCGGGCTGTGAACCTTAAGGTCAGCGGTTCGAAACTGCCAGCCGCTCCGCGGGAGAAAGATGAGGCTTTCTACTCCCGTAAAGATTTACACCCTCGGAAACCCTGTACAGGGTCGCTTTGGGTCAAAACTGACTCAACGGCACTTAACAACTTAACAACAACATGGTGGTTGGCTCCCTAGTTTGTCTGCAAAGCCTATTTTATTTATGAAGTACCTGAAAAAAGTACCATTAGTACCTCAGAACCTAACTATTATATAATGGTGTTTCTGTGGAAAAGAAGTAAGTGGTGACTCCAGAAATTCATTTCTCCTTATTGACAGCTGTTAAGTGCTTTCCAATTCATAATGGCCCTGCATAAGGTTCCTAAGGAGTCCAATGCTTATCCTATACCACCACACCAGGACTCCCTATTTACAGAATAACTTGGGATTTTCTCCCAGCTCCAAGCCACTAATTGTGGTTCCAATGGCCTGGGCAAGGATTCCATCCTGGAGTGGACTGGAGGTTATGAGTAGGTGGGATCAGAATGGGGAATCCCAAGAACCCTCAAGTGATGGGGAGGTAGAAGAGTTGGGTGTGAGTGAGCTAAGGATGTACACAGGGCCATTCAAAATATGAATTAACCACTTTGAGGAGTGGGCTGGTTGTCTTGTACTCTTTAACTTCTCTGGCCATATTTCAGTCCCCTGCCAGCCCTCTGTTTTTCTCTTTAACACGATCCACTGTCTATTCTGGGCTCCTGGTGTGCTACTGTGGAGTAATGTGCTGGACTGCAAGGTTGGTTTGAACTGCAAGGTTGGTGGTTCAAGCTGACCAACTGCTCCTCAGAGCTGACTTGACAGCACTTAATCACAACACTTCTACTCTAATCCAGCTTCACCTCCTTCTCTTCTTCCTTTTCTCTGAATGCTCTATTAACATAACAGAACACTGTAGCCGGTACAGTCTTGCAAAATGCAAACTGCAAAATGCTTTGGTTCTCCCTGGCCTAAAGCACAAAAACCCTTCTTAGAATGGTAAACAAGGCCCACTAAGACCTGACTCTCACTGCTTCTTCCCTTGTATCTCCAGCACTTCCTACTTATACCACTTACACTTACTGCAACCCTGAGATGCCTGTAAGCTCCCAGCATGCACCCTGTTGTCTCAAGCTCCAGGGTGTATGCTCATGCTGGTTATTATTAAGCAATCTCCTTTCATCTTTCTACTACTAAGTCTTGATCGCCCTCTAAGACTCAATTCAGACCATTCAGATTCTATCTCCAGAAGTTTGCCTAACCCTTCAGATTGTGTTAAGGCTCTTTGTGTGTCTCTGCACTCCCCATGTAGCTTCCCTTTTTAACTATGTATAACTTTACACTGAAGACGTTTACATGGTGTCTCCCCCAGTTCCATTCAACTATAAGCTTTTCTTGGGGAAAGATCATGGTTCATTCAAATTTGCATCTCAGCACCTACCACACCTCTTAATAGCAATACAACAAATACATGTTAAATCTAAGGAATGAGCTACTTAATTCCCAGCAGCTGCCTGAATGCCCTTTTGGACTGAGATACTCATTTCCCGCCCCCCCCTCCCCCCCTATCAGCTAACAACCTGCTGACAGACAGTTAGTTCACAGTTGAGTTCTCCTCCCCTTCTAGAGCTGCTCTCAACCAAATGGAGCTGCTTTGCCCAAGGTTACAACCTCTCCCCAGGGGTCATCTGTATCCAATGGCTGGATGAACAAAAGTCAGTCCCTGCCTCAGAAGGGCCATCCTTTCAAAGGTTCTGAAGGCCTGAAGGACTACTGCCTATCTGCGATGGAGACTATCCCCTGACATGAAGCAAAAAGAAAATGGAAAGAAATGGGCATCACTGGTAATAGTAACTTCCAGGAAGAAGGGGAGGAAAATTCCAAGGAGTAGCGGGAATAAAGAAACTCCTCCAGCCTCCAGGCCACCCAGCTGCCTGCGGCATCAGTTCAGAAATGGCGTCCCTTTCTAAGGCTGTAAGCAAGGGCTATGAATATCAAGGTCCATAGACTGCAAAGTCATTTGAACTGCAAGGTCGGTGGTTCAAGCTCATCAGCTGTTCCTTGGAAATCCTATATAGGGGTAGCTATAGGTTGGAATCGACTTGATAGCACTTAACAACAACAACAATGCATAATCAAAGTGAAAAGGTTATTGGTAAAAGGATTTTATCAATGAAGTTAAGAAACAATCTACAAAATGGGGAAAAATTTGGAGGAATCATAAATGCAGAATATATAAAGAACACCAACAACTTACCAGGAGTCCTGGTGTGAGCTATAGAATAAGCACTCGACAGCAATGTTGGTTTGAATTACAAGGTTAGAGGTTCAAACTCACCAGCCACTCCTCGGGAACCCTATACATGACTGCTTTGAATTGGAACCAACTTGACGGCACTTAACAATAACAAGAGATTTTAAAACAGCAACACAAACAGACATTTGTACACAAATGTTCACTGCAGCACTCTTCACATTAGCCAAAAAGTGGAAACAACTCAAACACCCATCACCAAATGAATGAGTAAACAATGTCATATAGAAAAGTGAAGTTCCAATCTATGCCACAACATGAATTGGAAACAGTATGCTGAGTGAAATCAGTCAATCACAAAAAGTTACTGTATGAATTCACTCCTATAACGTACATGAAACAGGGAAAGGTATAGAGATAAGAGTGTAACAGTGGTTACAAGGAGTGGGATGGATGAGGGGACAAGGCAGTATCATTGTTTAAGTGGTGTGCCATGGAGTCGGTTTTGACTCAGTGACACTGCATAGGGTTTCCGAGGCTGTATGTCTTTATGGGAGTAGAAAGCCTCATCTTTCTCCTGCGGAATGGCTGGTGGTTTCAAACTGCTGACCTTGAGGTTACCAGCCTGAGGTTACTTCTAATCACTACGCTACTAAAGCCTCTTATTATTCAAATAAGCCCCTCATTGTTCAGCATTTCTGTTTAAGGGGATGGAAAATTTGGCAATGGATATTGGTGATGGCTACACGATTACATAATTGTTTTTATGAATTGTACATGTGAAAAGTATTGAATTAGCAAATACGTTTTATATACTTTTGTAATAACCAGGAAACATTTTAAGGGGTTATTTAGTAAAAAGATGCTTATGTTACCTTAATGCCACTTCTTTTCCTGTGTCTTTTTCCTTTTTCCAGTTGAAACAAGTAGCCTTCAGAATTGCTACGGCTGATTTTGATTTGGTTTCTTTGACTTCTTTCGGAACTGAGTTGGGATTCACTTTCTACCCTAGACATTATGGGTGGTAGCGTGATGCTGGAGAAGGTCCCTTCACCCGGCTGCACCTCGGTCAGCTGCATCAAGGCCTGGTGATGCTGATCCATTATCTGAGAGAGTCGGGCATCTGGAGAAGCTCTAACAGCTTGGCTGTCAGAGGAAGAATGGAATTTCCTTGACAGAAAGAAAAATCACAAACTGGTTACCGCAACTTGGATATAGAAGACCTTTAGAATAGAAAGCCATTATAAACCATTAGTTTGATGCATTTTTGTTGTTAAGTGCCATCGAGTCGGTTCCGACCCATAGCGACCCAGTACAGGGTTTCTGAGGGTGTAAATCTTTACGGGAGTAGAAAGCCTCATCTTTCTCCCACGGAGCGGCTGGTAGTTTCGAACTGCTGACCTTAAGGTTCGCAGCCCGATTCGTAACCA